CACCAGGAGGACAGTGGACAGAACCCTAGAATGGAGGGATGCCGACAACAGTCTGATTGAATCCCTGTAGCTGGCACCCTCATCTGGCTTCGCAAACTCTCCCATCAATGCTCCCCAGTCAGTAGAGGAAAAAGATCAAGTTGTCTTCCAGAGAATCTAGGGCCATAACTCAAAGCTCTAAGCTCAAACTCCTTTTGCAGTCTGTAAATTTTGCATTCCGCTGCCCATCTATTTTGCTGTAATATAAAAATCAAGATTTCCCAAAAAATTCTTGCATTGAGTGAGGCTCCAAAAAAAGGAGCAGTGATATTTTTTTAATTAAGTAAGTTGTCAGCACTTAAAAATCAAAATGACATTTATGAGTGATTTCACATAGCACTCTGGGCCTGGCAACACAGGGTCCAGATTGCCACAGGTCAACTGGAGTTGGGCAGCAACCGTCCACTTTGGCATGAACTTTCCAGTCCCCACTGCCAACTCCCAGGGCCAGTTCAGGCATGGATGTTACTCGTCGACCCTGTGGACACTTGAGTGTACAAGCCTAGCTCTAAAAGCTAAAGCCCTGCTTCTGAATTTAAATGCAGAATTTAAAATAAAGCCCTCCTTCTGAATTTAAATTTAGATGCTAGGTTAGAACATCACGTGTGAGAACACCCCTAGAATTTCTGTAAACTCTTCATAGCTCGTCAACTCTTCTTCCCAATGCAGCTGGTCGTTAGAACAAGTGTCCTGACCTACTTCAGACTTCAAAGGAGCTGGCAATGCCTGCTGCTTGATAGTGACCTCTGAACATTTGGATTAAGCCTACCAGCACAGGATGCCATCCCCAACTAGTAGACATATGCAGAAGGCCCTCATAGCTCAGTTTCTGCAAAACATTTAGATTATTTTATAAATGGTAGATGCATCGAGGGAAACACTTTACATTTCCAGACAATACAGCCTATTTAAGATAATCTGTTCCATAGGTCTATTACCCCTTCTTTCATTTGTCCCGAGTTCATCTCTTCCAAGTAGCAAAAAGGTTCTTCTTCATTTCATTTAATGGGGTTGCCAACATCATCATCATCATTATTCTCCATCCTCTTTCTGATTTTTCAAACCTAGGAGATGTATACATCCCAGGTTATAGCATCATTTTGCCTTTATCCAAATCTTGTTTTACTCAACCTTCAAGATGTCTGCCCAATTTGGTCCTTTTCAACCAAGAAGAGTGAGGTACAATATGATGCAAAAACCCCACACCTAAAGTCAGAAGAGTTGATTTGCAGCCTAACTCCCTTCCTGACTTATCTGTGTGACCTTAGGTGAGTAATATAACCTCTCAGAACTTCAGTTATCTCATCTGTAAAGCGGAGATCATAATCAGTCATCTGGTCAGTTGGTTCCAAGCAGTTCGCATTCAAGATGAGCAAAACAGAGCAGCTGGCCCAGCCTCAGGGAGCTCATTGCCTAGGGAGGGAGGCAGGCATCAATCCTTCCAGAGAAGGACACGTAAGGAGGACAGCTGAGGGAGGGAAAGACCCTCTGAGAAAGGATGAGTGAGTTGTGATCTTAAGGATGGGCAGGAGTTAGTTAGGTGATGTCAAATGGGAAACCACATCCTAGGCAAAGCGAAGTGCTGAGACAGGACGCAATCCTGAGGGAAGGCCATCGTGGCAGGAACACAGGCAGTGACAGGGAGAGTGGAGAGGTGAGGAGGGGCAGGATGAGACAGGCCTTGTCAGTCTCACCTCTGCGGCCTTCATCATGAGGTTGTTGTGAGGCACAAAAACAGACCGTGGAAACACATCAGTACTGAAAAGCACCTCATGGATGTTGGCTTTCATTACTCTCCTTGTCACTGAAAACGGCCATTTTCTTTTCAGCTCTGGGGGCTGTGGGAAGGGCTTTCCTGATGAGGAGAGCAGGCTGCCCTTGACTCTGGCTCCCAGATTCCCTCCAGAGGCCAGAGCTGCACACAAAGCCTGTTCTGTGGGTGAGCTTCAAAGGAGAGAACTGAGGAGAAGGCAGCCTATGCCAGCAACACCTTCCTAGTGTCAGTGCCCACTCCCAACTTGGGCATTTCTCCGAATCCCTCAGGCCCTCTTGGCTTCCAGAAACAATATGGCCCTCTTCAAACGCCAAAGAAAATAACAAGGGATTGGAAGTGGAGAGGGGAGGGGAGGGGAGGGGAGACTTGGTGAAGCCTTTCCATGAAAAAGAATACACTGTGTCCTCTAACTAGAGCACACTGATAGCCATCTCAGCCAGGGCCAGCTTGGGACCATTTCTGAAGAATTTCAAGGCTCATAAACATCGTTTATCAGAATACCAGGGAAGTCAAAAGGCCTCTTAGGTTTACTCAAACCAGAAATCAGTAAAGGAAACCACAGAACAGGCATGAGAATGGCCACCCTATTTTCCCAGAAGACCATGTTTGCCACAAGGCAGCCACCAGGGGGCTCCAGCCAGTGGCCAGTGAAGAAGACAGGCATCTGAACTTGTCTGCCCCTGCTCTCCTTACTCACAAGATAGAGGTGGTAACATGGGCCTCAACCAGTCCAGTGGAATATTGACTCTTTGATCTACGTGCGTACAGAATCTGATTAAACTTTTTAAATAAACTAAAACAAATCTCTGGTGTATGCTCTACCTTCCCTCAGTCCATTTCCTGTTGGGAAGAGAGATTGCCTAGAAGGGCTCCGAGATTTTGGGGAGCCTCAGTTTTCTCATCAGTGAAACGGCCTGATCATACCTGCTGGAATAGGATTGTTGGGAGGATTTGAGAAATTCGAGACGACGTAGACAAGGACATTTAGCACCACAGCTGGCACACAGTGGGTGCTTAGTGAGCGGCAGCACTTGACAGGGCAGATAGCCCATCCTGGGATTGTCTCTTCGCCTGGGGCTGAGACACCACAGCTCTGTTAGAGATAATGGTGACAAATAGAACATTTAAGGGTGGAGTAGGAATGGCATCATTGTCATTTGCTATGGAGTCTAACTTGTGAGTAACCCTTCCTGTCGTCCACACAGCCTGAATTAGTCACATATGCTGTACTCTCTCTCTCTGCCTTTCTCCTCAGGGCTTCTTGTTCTCTGTAGCACTCCATCTGCCTTCACCTTTGTCTCCATGTTTTATCTCTGCCCTACACTGGCCCTCTGAGGATCAGTATGATGGAATGGGAAGAGCAATGGCTTTTGAGTTCAGGCTGAGTTTCAAATCCCATCTCTGCCACAGACTGGCTCTGAGATCTTGGTCAAATCCTCGATGACCCTCAGGTTCCTCATCTATAACCTCCTGGCGGATAGAGCCCAAATCCTTAGTATCTAATTTGTTTCTTCATACATAGTAAGTGCTGAGTAATAATGTTAATGATAGCATTAAAACCTTCCAGGGTCTGTTCTAACTACTTTTATTTGCATGAATGGTGCCGTGGTTAAGCACTTGACTGCTAATTGAAAGGTCGGTGGTTGGAACCTACCAGCTGCTCTGAGGGAGAAAGATGTGGTAGTCTGCTTCCATAAAGATTTACAGCCTTGGAAACTTTATAGGGCAGTTCTACTCTGTCCTACAGGGGTTGCTATGAGTGGGAATCAACCCAACAGCAATCAGGTTTTTTTGTTTTGCTTTGTTTTTTAACTCATTTAATCCACAGAACAACTCTATTATATAGATACTATTATTATCCCCATTTTACTGATGAGGAAAATGAAGCTCTCATTTATTGATTGAATGAATGACTCTCATGATAATTGTTAAAATTAAATAATTAAAAATTAAAAATAATAATTAAAAATTAAATAATAAATTATTTGTCAAAGAGCCTGACCAAGTACCTGGCATGTCACCTCTTTCGTACCCTGTGTCTGCTGCCTTTCTGTTTTTCCTGGCATTGGGACAGGACTGTTAAGTACCCAGTCCCTACCCTGGACCAGGCATGGCCACTTTCCAGCCTTGCAGACCGGCTGGTGCCCACCTCTGTCTGGGTGTGTAGGCAGCTCTTTCATGGGCCTCAAGATAGAAATTCCTCAAAACACCACCAAAACCAACAACAATGCCACAACTAACTTCCCCTCCTCCCCTTTCCCCAGAAGAGCTTGCTGTGGTGATCCAAAATCTGCCAAACTCTGGACAACACCGAACCAGCCCCAGGACTTTGGCCCAAGATGGCTGGAGGCAGTGCACAAACCAACATCCAGTGTTGGGTAGCTTTCCATAAAAGCAGAGGGGATGGAACAGGCTTCAAATGGTGCCTAGCATGCAGTAGGCATTTACCAACTATTGAATTGATTGATAGTTTTCTATGTGCTGGGCAATCCAATTTAAAATAAAAAAAAAAAATCCAAACCTTTGCCTTCAAATCGATTCTGACTCAGGGCGACCCTATAGAACAGAGTAGAACTGCCCCATAGGGTTTCCAAGGAGCAGCTGGTAGATTCGAACTGCTGACCTTTTGATTAGCAGCCAAGCTCTTAACCATTGTTCCACCAGGGCTCATATTAACCCTAAATTCCATAACAGCCCTGTGAATTGAGCATGTTATCCTCATTTTACAGATGAGGAAACTGAAACTTAAATGTTTAAGGATCTTGCCCAAGTGGAAATTGGCAGAACCACAATTTGACCTCAGACTTGCCAGGCTTCAACGCCTGTGCTCCTGATACCACATCACCTAAAACCAAATAGCTGGAGGGCCTTTTTCTTTCCTTCTCTACGAGTACCGCTATTCTAAGCACCAGAGCCAGGCTTGGGTACTAGCAAGTTATGACCGGGTTTCCTGCCCATGTCATTCCCTCTTGTTCCCAAAGTCCAACCAGCCCTTCTGGTTTTCTCTCTGGAATGGACGGTGGCCTTGGCCCCTGCAGAACACTCCAGGGCTGGAGGCCCTTTCAACTCAGTGGACAAGAAATCTTGAGAGGGTGGGGATTTTAGGATAACAAGCGCTTCCTTCAGAGAAGCCTTCCGAAGTCTTTCTTGAAGACATTGTCCCTCACTTCTCTCTCCTTTGGTGCAGCCTGTGACTCCTACTGGACATCTGTCCACCCGGAGTACTGGACCAAGCGTCATGTTTGGGAATGGCTCCAGTTCTGCTGTGACCAGTACAAGCTGGACGCCAACTGCATATCCTTCTGCCACTTCAACGTCAGCGGCCTGCAGCTGTGCAGCATGACGCAGGAGGAGTTCATCGAGGCGGCTGGCATCTGCGGAGAGTACCTGTACTTCATCCTGCAGAACATCCGCACTCAAGGTCAGTGTTCCCAAGGCTGAGGCCAGGGGGCTGGGCCTGGAGGGGGTGGCGGGTGCAGGGGGGTGGGACCAAATGACCTCATCAGGTCCTTTCTCACCGGATGACTCATACAGCAAGCCCCCTGTTAACCAAGAACCTCTTAATACTGAAATCTCGATTATGCTGGAATTGGGAGCTTTTAGGAAAAAGGGAGCAAGTTACAAGAAAGCAAGTTGAGTACATTAAAATAATAATAAGAAGAAAACAAAAGAAAAATAAAAACATGTCTCAGAGTCTGCCCAGGAACTAGGCTATAAACAAAACAATGCATTATGTTCAGAAAGATTTGCAACCACAAGGCGTAGATAAAAAGAGACTTCTGCTTGACCATTCATTAAGCAGAAGGGAAAAAAAAAAATTAACCAGACCCTTTCCCTTCCCACTTCCAGAATATTCCAACTAATTGGCATTTCATTTTATCACATTCCTAATAAACAAGGGGAACCCTGGTGGCACAGTGGTTAAAAGCTTGGCTGGTAACCAAAAGGTTGGTTGTTCGAATCTACCAGCTGCTCCTTGGAAACCCTACGGGGCAGTTCTACCCTGTCCTATAGGGTCACTATGAGTCAGAATTGACTCGATGGCAGTGGGTTAATGGGCAAGGATCAAATGGCCAGAAGGTGGTGACAGTGGCATTACTTAACTTGTCAACATGCCCTACAAGAGTAGACTGTTGATGGACACGTTTTTTAAACCCGAGAAAGATCTCTGAGAACACCTAATTCTGTGTCCCTACATTACAGATAAGGAAACTGAGGTCCCAAGGGGTTAAGTGAGTTCCTCAAAGTCACACAACAAACAGACCTGATTCACAGAAAGTCAGTATAAAGCAGGGGTTTCGCGATCAGAAAGACCTGCATTCAAACCCTGGCTCCAACACTTCCCAGCCATAGGACCTTAGGGAATAGACTTAACCTCTCTTCATCTCCATTGCATCATCATATAGTGAGATAATGATACACACTTTCAGTCTTCTTGAAAGGATTCAGTGAAATATTATCTGGCACAGTATTTATAAATAGTCAAATGCAGTAAATGGGGATAATTTCATCATCATTAATATAATCAAAAGGCAGAAATTTTTAAAAAAGAGAGGAAGGAAGGATGAGAAGGAGGGAGGGAAGGAGGAAGGAGGAGAAAGACAGGGAGAGAGAGAGAAAGAAGGAAGGAAGGAAGGAAGAGCTCAGCTCAATATTAAGAAAGTCCTATCTAACAGCACCTTCGCTTAGAAGGGCAGCTTCAGGCGATACTGTAGGTAGGAAGCTCCCTGCCACAGGAGTTAATCAAGCAGAGTCTAATTAAACCCCTGCTTGATGGGGATGTTATAGAAAGAGTTCCTGCTGTGGGAAAGAAAAACCATTGAGGACACTTCCAGCTCAATGATTTGATTCGTTAACCACTCACTAGATCCTCCCCCCATGCCCCACTCCTGCAAGTACCTGAGGGCAGGAAAGGCTGGTGCCCCTCAGGTACTGCTTGGCTCGTGCCCTCAGAGCCATGGCTCCCCTAGGGTGAGGAAGGGATAGACAGGTCTGCTGTCCATTGTTATCCAGTTTCCGCTTGGTTACGTCCAGTGACCTGCCAAGTGCTGGGAACAGCCCTTCCCCAGAGTGGGACGCCCTTGGAAGAGGGCAAGTCTGAGCAAACATGATCTGAAACTCCTATTTCAACTCCAGCCCACCCCGTTCCACAGAAGAGGAAACTGAGACCCTGACATAGTCTCCCAAACCCTCTTTAAACTTGGTATTCATATAGGATTTTGCCCTTATTGTGGCCTCTTGTGCCCATTTCCCACCTTGACCAGCACGTTAAAAATAAACAAACCAAACTTGTTGCCATCAAGTCCACTTCGGCTCATAGCGACCCTATAGGACAGAGTAGAACTTGACCAGCACGTTAGCCATCCAAATCATAGACTTTTAGAGCTAAAGGAGAGCTTAGCAGTCCATTTGTCTTGTGTTGCCAATGCGGAAGATGAGCCCAGATATTGAGACACTAGGCCAAGGCTGCACAGGGAGTCAGCAGCCCCAGCCCATGTCAGTAGAACCCAGCTATCTCAGTCCCTGGGATGCCAGGGTGCATCCCCCAATGCCACTCAGAGAATCCACAGAGGCTGTCAGGATGCCTGGCCAGGTACTCTCCCCAAATGACCTTTAAAGATGAGGAGATTGTGACTTCTCAGGGATGGCTTCAGGATGGCCCTATAAGGATCAGATGGTCTCCAAGGTTCCTTCTAAATTAGACTCCCCTCAAAGGACACAGTCACTCTTCTTCTCCCCCATGCCTCCTCTCCTGACCTGGCCACAGGAAACCAGGATTGCATAGTATGCTTTGTGGATTTCTTTCTCTTTCCTAGGTTACTCCTTTTTTAATGATGCTGAAGAGACCAAGGCCACCATCAAAGACTGTAAGTAACCAAGCTGTCCAGTGCTATGTCAAGATGTTGTTGGTCTTGGTCATTCTTTTAAGGCTGCCCTAAAGGGCTGATGAACTGAAACAATCTCAGACTTGGAGGAGACAAGACAGAGGAGAGAAATGCGGTAGAAAGAGATGGGGCTTTGGAATCAGATGGGTCTGAGGCCACAGCCTGGATCTGTGGGTTACTTATCCTCCCCAAGACTCAGTTTCCCTATATGTAAATGGTGTGTCCCTTGCTGGTTGTAGTGAGTTTTAGAAACACTGCCTACAGAGTGCCTGGCATGTCCCAGCAGTGCAGATGCCCCAACACTGGTGGCCAATAGCAATAACAATAATAATACTTACTAAACATTAGAGGCCTTGTGGTTGATAATGTTACGAAGAATCTGAGCTCACTAAGCAGGTCGAGTTTATGATTATAAGGTGATCAAGGATCTCAAATGGTCTTGTTGATTCTGAAGATTAAACTTGACAGTTCCACTGCAGATGGAGAAGGTTTAGGAAAGGGAACTTTGGAGTTTTTATTTTTTTAAGATGATGATTATTATTGCTATTAGTTATTGAGTCTCATGCAAAGGCCCTGGCCCGAGGCCAGGAGGACCTGTAGGCAGACCTCTTCTCTTGTGGGCTTCAGCTCATTCTGCAAAGAGAGGGCAGATCATGTGGAGATTTCCAAGGCCTCTGAGAGATGTGAGCCTCAGGGGCAGGGACAGAGGGACTGTTTACTCTGCTGTGTCTTTACTCTCCTTAAAATAAAGTCCCAAACAATTAACTGAGAATTCATGTTGTTTGGCTGCTGCTTAACAAAGCCAAATCACTTCGAGTTTTAGCACAGGAATAGCCAGGTCCAGGTCTGTGGACCGTATCTGGTGGACGTAAGCAGGCATGCCCTGCCCAGACACCCTTGCACAGCAGCGCTACTTTCTGCAAGGCTCCCTCCACTCAAGGAGTCCCTGGGTGGGACAAACAGCTAACAACTTGGCTGCTAACTGAAAGGTTGGAGGTTCAAATCCACCCAGAGGTACCTCAGAAGAAAGGTCTGGTAATCTATTTCTGAGAAATCAGCCACTGAAAACCCTGTGGAGCACAGTTCTACTCTGACATGTGTTACCCAAAGCAGGTCCTGCCCGGTGCGGCTTCTCGTCAATAAACACACACCGAGGTCAGGAGGGAGGAAGAGCGTTTATTGCAAGCATGCAGGCAAGGACCAAGGAAGGGTATACCTCAAATCAAAGTCCCTGAACAAAGGGAGGCAGAACCTTTCATACTGTCCTTCACAAGGGAGTACATACAAATATCATGGACTACATAGGTTATCATGGCGTGCAGGCGCAGTAAGACAAATTCCATTTTTTTTCCTTAGTATGTACAGAAAATGGTGGATAAGTCCTGCCCTGGGCGGAGCTCTTAATATTCAGTTAGGTCTTAATGAGGCTTAGGTTACTTTGGGACACTTTTGAGGCTAGTAAACTGAGTCTGACTGGTTTAGGGCAGGAACTGAGCCATACGCAGCACTGAGGGTCTTTGAGGACAATGGACAGGAGGGGGCAGGTTCCGTTTGATAATGGCTGAGCAGCTGCTAATTGAACCACACGCATGGATGTCTATCACTTAAGGTCTTGATGGTAATGGAGAGGAGGAGCAGGTCTTGCTTGATAACAGCTGAGCAGCTGCTGGCTGCACTGGCCATCACATGGGGTTGCCATTGCCATGAGTTGGAATTGACTCCACGGCAACTGGTTTACTGGTGCCACACTCAGGGCGACGAAGTTTACTCCCTCCTCCTACCTGTCAGCAAAGCTCCCCCCACCCCACCCCCACCCTTTTCCTGGTTCTGGTGGAGTCCTTTCTGATCAATATGCAGTAGCCTGGGGGCAGTGGTTAAGAGCTTGACTACTAACCAAAAGGTCAGCAGTTCGAATCCACCACCCACTCCTTGGAAACCCTATGGGGCAGTTCTGCTCTGTCCTATAGGGTTGCTATGAGTCAGAATTGACTCGGTGGCAACGGGTTTGGTTTTTGGTTTTTTGGGGGTTTTTTTGGGGGGGGGTGGATGCAATTCCCAGCTTTCACCACCTAATTCAACCCAGACAAAGCCCCTGGAAGAAATGGGGGGGGGGTGGATGCAATTCCCAGCTTTCACCACCTAATTCAACCCAGACAAAGCCCCTGGAAGAAATGAACCCACTGAGGCCCAGGGGCCATATCTATGTCAGTGTCCAAAGACTTGATCTGGGGGATGGGAGAAGCACATTGACGAGGCCTGGAATTTGCTTTTACTCTGTAAGTACCTTTTCCAGGTGACAGGGTCTTCAACTATAAATGGGAATCCTTGCCAGCCTGCCTTCCTAATAACAGATGGAAACCAATGGTCGAGGAAGAGATGTTCTGTTCCACAAGTTCTTTAGAAGTAGGTGTTACCTGAGTATATAACTAGCCACAACTAAATTCAGTGCTATAATAATCATGGCAGCTAGCATTTATTGAGTGCTTACTATGAGCCAGGTCCTGTGCTAAAATCTTTCTAGAAATTTTCTCAGGTAATTCTCCCAATAACCCTAGAAGACAAGTACTAGTACCATAGCCCTTTTATAGATGTAGGAACTAAGGCTTAGAAGTTGAAGGTGATATAGATAGAAGCTGGCAGGTGACCCAGGTGTGTCTGAATCCAAAGCCCTTAACCCCTTTACTGCCCTCATCCATTTCTTTCTTTTTTCATTCATTTATTCAACATTTACTGAGCACCTACTAGGTTCCAGGCCCAGAGCTAGGCACTGTGGCTGCAGTGATTAACAAGCGTCCCTTGATCCCAAACACATGGAGGAGATCATAAAAATTAAAAGGGAGACTTTCCTTCCACTTCTTTCTGATTTGGCATTTCAGTGTAAGTTTATTGCCTATTCACCGGTTAATAATTCACCTTTGTTTATCTTTATGACTCCATTTTCTCTCATCTTAAAAGAGTTTAAAAAAAAAAAAAGGTGTGCTCTGCAGGTGACATGGTGCAGCCTGGCATTCAGTCAGACCAAAGTGCAGAACTCTTGATCATGATCAGCCAGCTATCAGCCCTGCTCACCTGGGGCCACCTCTCTCCACCTGGGGGCAACCTCCACCTCCACGTCAGCCAGTCTCACCTGGGCATTCATTTACAGTTTGCGCATACCTGCCTGGGCGGGGGGCGGGGTGGGGGCTGTTTTTCCACATCAGTGCTGTTCCTGAGAAGAGGCCTAAGGGACCTCGAAGGTTGAAGGCATGCATTCATTTAATCATTCATTCCAGTGTCATTAGAGACGAGAGCTCTGCTGAGAGAATGTTTGTATGCAGAGGTCAGCCCTACCATTGACCCTGCCTGTGACCTCAATGGTGCTTCCCCCACATACCCTCAAGGCTCACTCTTTTCCTGCTTTAGGAAGCATCTCCTTATCACAGAGACCTTCCTTGTCAGCCCTATTTAAAATAGCAACTTCACCCACCCCTTCACCATCACTTTCTGTCCTCCTACCCTGCTGTATTATTCTCCATAGCATTTATCACCAACTGAAATACTATATATTTGTTTGTTCACTGACTGTTCTACCCACTTGGATGTAAGCTCCTTGAGAGAGGAGACTTAGTTTTGTTTCCTGCTGTGTCTTCAGCACCTAGTACAGTAGTTATACTATGGCTCAATAAGTGATTATGAACAAATGAGTGAATGACCTGCAATGAGCTACCAAACCTCTCTATGCCTCAATTTTCTTATCTGTAAAATGGGGATAATAGTAGACATACAAGAAGCGCTGGTGGCACACATGGTTAAGCACTCGGCTGCTAACCAAAAGGTTGGCAGTTCGAACCCACCCAGCAGCTCTGGGAGAGAAAGACCTGTTGATCTGCTTCCATAAAGATTATAGCCAAGAAAACCCTATGGGGCAGTTCTACTCTTTCACATGGGGTCACTATGAGTAGAAATAGAGTCAACAGCACCTAACAATAACAACAACAGTAGACATACATCATAAGGGTGGGTGAGATTGAATGAGTGCCTGATTATAATAAACACTCAATAAGTCTTAGCCAGTAATGTTATTATTAGTCCTTCGTGCATTTAGTATCTATTGAACACCTACTATGAAGATAAAGCAGTCATGATGAACATTAGCTTTGGAACAGGACCACTCTGGTCCAAGTCCTGGCCGTACCACTTTGCATAAAATTCTTAAGCTCTCTGGGCCTCAATAACAATACTACTCACCACAGAGGATTGCTCTGAGGATTAAAAGAGATACTGTATGTGAAGCACTTGACAAGTATTTGGCATTTAGTAAATGCTCCGCAGGTATCAGCTGCTAGTGGAGGAGGAAAAGAGACAAGCTCAGTCTTTACAATAGAGCTGGGCCAGTGCTGTGATACCAAGGAGCACACAGAGCTATGGGACTGAGAAGGGCTCTTACCCACGGTCAGATCAGGGTAGGCTTCCTGAAGAGGTCTTGTGAGAGTGGGAGTCGGCCAGGTGGAAATGAGGGGGCAGAAAGTCTGTGCAAAGGCCCTGAGGCAGGAGGAGAAAGCCAAGTCCCATTGGGAGGACTGCAGGAGTTCCATCTCTTGAGGAGCACCAAGAAATAAGGCTGGAGAGCTGGTTGGGGTCATTTGTGAAAGCCTAACTAACATGGCAGTCTTCTCCTGGAGACAGTAGGGAATTGCTGCAGGATGTTGGGCCAGGGAGTGGCATGACCCAATTGCGCTGAGATAGGTCACTCTGTGCACAGGATACGCAGTCCACATCATTCCTGCCCTGGACAACATATTTATTCCTTCAGTCATTTCACTTATATTTATTGAGCACCTACCATATGTCAGGCTCTGTGCTAGTACAGAGCCCTGGTGGGCAGTGGTTAAGATTTTGGTTGCCAGAGTCCCTGATGGAGCAGGAGAAAAGTGAGGTGTAGAACTCAAATTCTGGCAAAAAGACCAGACTTAATGGTCTGACTCAGACTGGAGGAACCCCAGAAAGCATGGCCCCCGGACTCTCTGTCAACCCAGAACTAAAACCATTCCCGAGGACAACTCTTCAGACAAAGATTAGACGGGACTATGGGACATAAAATGATACTTGTGAAAAGTGTTCTTCTTAGTTCAAGTACATACATGAGACCATATGGGCAGCTCCTGTCTGGAGGTAAGATGAGAAGGCAGAGAGGGTCTGGGGCTGGTTGAATGGACACAGGAAATCAGGGGTGGAAAGGAGGAGTATGCTATTCCAGTACAGGGAGAGCAATTAGGGTCACATAACAATGTATGTATAAAGTTTTGTATGAGAGACTAACTTGAATTGTAAACTTTCATTTAAAGTACGACAATAAAAAAATAAAAAAGATTTTGGTTGCCAACCAAAAGGTCGGCAGTTTGAATCCACCAGCCACTCCCTGGAAACCCTATGAGGCAGTTCTACTCTGTCCTATAGAGTCGCTATGAGTCGGAATTGACTTGATGGCAGTGGGTTTTTGGTTTGGATGCTAGGTACTGGGGGGATAATAACTGGAAACACAAATTCCTGCCTTCTAGTGGAGACAGGCAGAGAGTGAACTAACTAAATACATACATATAAACATACATACATGTATACATACATATAAACATACATACATGTATACATA